CCAATTTCACAAAACGTATAACGAAAAATCGCGATATCTTCTAAAATATTGATGCTGGCGCTTTGAGTCATAATAACTTTCGTTAGAACTCTTGAGATGCCATCCAGAACTATAGACAAAACTGCTGTAACTTTCAAAAATTTTTTATCCCCCAAGAAATAAAAAAGTCCGATATAAGAAAAAAAATTGCATAGTTCTGAACGCAGTCTAAACAGTTCTGCAGTTCCTGACAAAAATTAAAAATAGTTTCGGTGAATTAAGCCAAAAAAACGAAATAGTAAAAATTTGTGGGGTGCCAGCTTCATAAAACACGTACATAACGAAAAATCGCGATATCTTCTAAAATATTAATTATAGCGCTTTAATCATAATAACTTTCGTCAGAATTCTTGAGGTGTTATCCAGAACTGTTGACGAAACTGCCAGAACTTTCAAAAATTTTTCATCCCTCGGGTGACAGAAATTTTTGAAAGTTCTGACAGTTTCGTCGACAGTTCTGGATAGCACTTCAAGAGTTCTAATGAAAGTTATTAACACTCAAACCGCGCTAGGATTGATATTTTAAAAGATATCGCGATTTTTCGTTATGCGTTTTGTAAAGTTGGCACCCCAAATTTTTGATATTATATGGTTTTTTTTTTTTTTGCTTAAATCGCCGGAATTATTTTTTATTTTAGACAGGAACTCCAGAACTCTTTGGGGTGCAATCAGAACTCTAACGAAAAGTTGATTTTTTTGAAAAAGAGGTGCTAACTTCACAGAGGTTATACAAACTTTTGAAATACTTGAAACAATTATTATTTGCGAACAGTGTGTATTTTTCTGAGTATATGAGAAAGTGGGGCTTTTTATTTTTATAGAATTTTCACCTAACACAATATCTGTTGTAGACGATCCTGTAAACGAATTAGGAAACTGATACTAACAATTAATTCATCTTTTCAACATTACGGACAAGGAAAAAATCGATCGCGAATTGACCGAAGAACCAAGGCGGTTAAAAATAAGGCATCCTGCGACTTTTGGACATGCCTCGGTCTTTGACACGCGTTTTGCAGTTTCTTTCGTATACCTATACCTGCAGATATTACAATAGATACGTGTATAAGTGATAAATGGCTTATAAAAAACGAGGCTCGTGCTAAATAAATAAATGGAAGTGTTTCGAATTAATTTCTTCTATTTTTTCGTATCAAAGTACCATTAATACGGCATAACTTTTTTTCGCGAATCGTGAACTGCTTTTTCCTATGCGACCAACGGATTTTTGCGTGTTTTTCTTCCTTTTGCGATGTCGCGTATATAAAACATGTTTTCAAATGGCGCTTAGTATGCATTAAATCGCATTAAAATCTAATGTATATGCGTCCATAACGGCACTTTGAAATTGCTTTCTTAAACGTGTCATCACCTGGAATTTCTATCTTAGTGGTACATCGCGCGCGTCGGATTTATGAGCTCTTAAAGACTCTTACAACACAAAAATTTGGATATCTCTTGCCGCATCATTATTACACATTTTTCTATGTGTCACTTTATTTTTAGTTTTTCAATCGTTCTCGTAGTTAAGAGAGTAAAATTTCGGTATGCTACTCCATTGCAATGCTTTTCAACTAAATACTTAATGACTTTTTGACTGAGATTGAGATCAACTTATTGTTAGACACAAGTGGGCTAAATACCATTAATCAATTTTCTTCGTTGCTTTGTATAAGAGCGCGCGTTATGTACATCTATAATACTTTTTCAAAAAATGTTTAGGACGCGAGGACACATATTTCAATAATTAAATTTATCAATACTATTTGTCAATTATTACGTCATTCGTATAGGTATAACAGTTTGACAATGCATATTGCAATATAACGAACATGTAATTTAAGAACATTAAACGTTTAATATATTTTTTATTATTATATTATTTTATTATATATATTTTTAATTTTATAATATTTATTATACTACAATTTTCTAATATATATTTTTAGATGAATATAATGATTTATTAAAAAATCGAAATTAATATAAAATCGATTATCTTTGTTTAATTGCGTGTGTAAATAACTATATACATAAATATGATAAACATTAGAAATTATTGGATCTTATGTTTTGTTATTTAGTTGTAACAATATATTTTTATAGTAACAGCTTGTTTTTTAATTTTAAAGAGGAAGTTTTAATGACGCTGCAGCAAGCGGCCACTTCTAGCGGCCACATGCGAGACGCTAGAAACGAATAGCAGTGCGGGCCCCCCGATTTTATAATACGTTTTAATTATACTTTTTATAAAGTATAATTAAGACGTATTTCTATAAAAAATTCATTGAAAATAATAATTCACACTACATAGCGATAAACGAGAAAAGATTAAGTTAAAAATAATGTATACGGAAGAAGGGCCAGTAAAACAATTACGAAATTTAAATTTAAATGATAACCATACATAGAAATTTAAAATAATACAAAGAAGTTTAATATAAATATAACACATAATACGTTTCGACTCCGATCAGGTCATTCTTAATGTTATAGTTAGTATTGTATAAAAATCGTTGTACAGTAAAAATTACATAACATTATAAATATTACTTCCACAGAAAATTATAAATCGTTATGCTTTGATAAATTTCGTATTCTTCATCTTGCAATTCAGGGCTGGGCATGTATTTAAAATACTTTTATTTGAAAACGATAATTGTAAGACAATTGTATCATGTATTTTGTATTTCAACAGCGTACATGAAAATATTTTGCATTTTATATTTTATGGAAGTATATAAAAGTATTTTGTATTTCACAAGTATTAATAATGAAAGATTGAAAGTATTTTGTATTTTAAATACTAAGATATTGAAGATTGTTATTATTTAAATTACGAAGTACATAAAGCTTTTGAGGCTTTCACGGGTATTTTCTTCAATTGTACCATAAGGTTTGCGGGCTATCGCCGTGTCTTTCTTCATTACTAATGCCGTCGTTTCGTGAACCATATCGTTCATTTCATCAGGGCGAGGGGTGCGCTGATGAAGTGAATGGTATGGTTCACGAAACGATGGCATTAATAATGAAGAAAGACACGGCGATAACCCGCAAACTTTCTGGTACAATTGAAGTACATAAAGCTTTCAATCTTTTAATTTTAAATACAAAATACGTAATACTTTCATGTACATCGCTGAAATGTAAAATATAAAATCTACTTTTATTGCGAAAAAAACTGTATTTTAAATAAAAGTATTTTAAATACATGCCCAGTCCTAATGTTGCGAGTTGTAATAAAGTTATTAATAAAGAAATAATCTAAATAGTGACCGCAGAACAAAAAAGAATTACTACCAATTCAATAAAAATTTAGTTGTATATAAATCTGTTAGTATACCTTGAAGTTATATATGTAAAATTTTTTTTAGGATCATAGAGTAGATAAACATGAAAATAAGAGAGAAGCAACTACACTGACAGTCATCCACATCGTGGTGGCACTTGTAATCATAGCAGCAAATTTGCACAACAGTAAGACATCTGATTGCGACGACTTCTGATAATGTAATGTCAAGCTGGAAAATGCTAAGAAAGGAGAATTGGCAAGAGGAGGACAGAGACAGACAGACAGACAAAGAGAGAGAGAGAGAGAGAGAGAGAGAGAGGTTAGAAGGAAGATATTAGGAAGGGGAAAGAGAATATATGATGTAATATATTATTATATAATATATTATTATTAGATAAAAAAGTTTAAATTTTTGAGGATTTTTTTTTAACATGGCTTAATTATCTTATCTACCACTCCATAAATGACGCCTCTCTTGTGACCAACTGGATGGTGTGAGTGAAAAACCTTTTCCGGGAGATTCCTTAATTTTCATTTACACCATCCAGTTTGTCACTTATATTTATATTAAACTTCTTTGTATATTTTTTAAATTTCAGTGTACCAATGTTATCATTTAAATTTAAATTTCGTAATTGTTTTACTGACTCTTTACCCTTTTTCTATATACATTGTTTTGAATTGATAAAGCCTTATAACGTTTATTAAATTAAAAATATTGTAAGTAATAATAAAAATACGTTATATAAAGTATATGTATAAATAATATAAAAAATATTGTTACTACACGCGCGCATGGTGCTAGAGGTTCGGAAAAAATTTTAAAATGTAGTCTAATAAGACTACGAGAAAACCGAAATGCTATATAGTTTTCAATATCACACCTCCATTGTTTATTTAAAAATTAATAAACTAATGCGTAATAATGTTCAAAATTATGTAGTGTTTCGGTCTTCTCGTGTCTCAGACTACATTTAAAAATTTTTTCCGAATTTTTATCACCATGCGTGTAGCGACAATATTTTTTATATAATATTATTTATATTTATATTTTTTAATATATTTTTATTATTATTTACAATATTTTTAACTTAATCATTTCTCGTTTATCGGCGTGTAATGTGAGTTATTATGTTCAATGAATTTTTTATGGAAATACGTTCTTAATTATATTTTTTATGATCGGGAGCCCCGCACTGCTATTCGTCCCTGGCGTCTCGCATGTGGCCGCTAGAAGTGGATTAAAATGCCCGTTATTTTGTAACAATGTTGAAATTAAAGTCATATTTTATTTATTCATGTTTCTGAAATTTTTTTATTGAAAGAAATTCGAAGATATAAAATTTAGACAGAATGTTTTTTTACTTTTTTTGATATTACTTTCGGGGTATTATACATACTTTTCAAAATACATTTGTAGTAACGCTTAGACATATATATATATATATATGTTTCATTGCATTTGTGTCAGAATTTATTATTTGCTGTACATACATATACGCAAAGACCAGTTTATAACTGACTATAACTGTACTTTTCGTTTAAAAAAGATAAATAGTTTAATTCCATAAATGAATAACACTATCTGAGAAATACAACACACATATTGGGTCTCTAATTGTAAGTAAATTTACTTGGGACTGATTGCGCTAAAATATATTGTATTTTCCTTTGTTTAGGGGAGCATTCTCTGAAGTGAGACTGGCGGAAAGTAAAGAGAAGCCAGGTCAAATGTTTGCCGTAAAGATCATCGACAAAAAGGCGCTAAAGGGCAAGGAAGATTCGTTAGAGAATGAAATCAAAGTTCTGCGAAGGTAAGACGCAATGCGATTCTGAGAGCTGGACCATATGTATTTTCAGTAGAAAAATTTTTTTATTTACCAGTACTGTAAACTCCTTGTTTGTGGTATATAGTTGCTCTTTGATATTTAGATATTTGGAAAACATGACAATTGAGTAATTTAAGTACCAGTTCTATTATCGCTGGAATCGACCTCGAATATACTTATACGCATGCTTCTCTCTAACAAACATTCTTTACCTCGTAAGAATCATTATTTTTTGAGTATCATTCCCTCCTGCCCTTGTAGCTTTGAGTATATATCAGATAGATTCATATATCATGGCATCACAAGTGTAAAGCTAAAAGGTATTATTGACATTCGCTTTCTTGGAAAATTATTTTGGGAATCGTAAATTGTTCGATATCTGTTCTGTTATCATTAATCATATGGGAAAAAGTAATAGCTTTAAGCTATAAACTACCCAATCGTTGTGCTTTCTCACTTATACAATGTTATCATGGTGTTATAACTCAGCACTAAAGATGCTCTCAGAAAGATGTTTTTTGTTTCCAAGGAGCGCTGTGACATGGTATTTGGGAGTGAGCTCTGATGGCTGTCGTCTGTCCTATTATCTTTGATGTTGTATGCAAATGCCTCATATATAAGCTATATATATTGTCTCGATGCTGTTAAACATATATCAGGCATAATGCAGACTCAAAAGTCTTCTGTCATAATTCTTTATCCTTGTGGATATATATGTACTTACGTCTTTTTCTTTAACCCTTTGGCTGGATACATGTTGAAGTGGTATTATATTTTACAGTGTTTATTAGCATTGAACTCTTTCTATTGGGTTATTCTATTTTATTGCGACTTATATACACAGTAGTGGACAAAATAAATCATACACCTTTAAAGAAATTGAATTTGTTTGTGTATTTTTTTAACGAGCAAATAAATTATTGGATACAAAAAAATCAAAGTATTTGAAAGTATTTACATAAAGAAAATGTGAAATAATTAAAATTTTATGCTCAATTCTTTTGTAAAAAATTTATTTTTTAATATTGATACATTTTATCTTGGACAAAATAAGTCGTACACTTAAATAAGTATAACATAGGATCTCGTCAATGTTTATATTTCGTCGTTCTATTACTGTTCGTCATTTCATTGTTTGTTTACTTTGTTTCTACGTTGTAACAATTATAATTTACGTGTTCGATGGATTAGTAATAATTATGACAAACAAGAACAATGTCAGAGAAACAAATTTCTCTTGATATCCGAAATTTGGTAATTCGTGACCGACAGAATGGTGATTCCTTTAGAATAATCGCTGATAAATATGCAATCTCTGTTGGAACAATGCAGCACATTTGGAAAAAGTACGAAACATATGGGATTGCGATAAACTATTCCGGAAAAGGTCAGAAACGGGCTACAACTTCTCGCGATGACACCGGAATTGTTCGAATGGTAAAATTCAATCCGAAGCTATCTCGCAAAATATTGTGGAATCGATGAATCTGAATGTCAGCAGACGCACTGTGCGTCGCAGACTTAAAGGAATCTGGACTGAAAAGCGTGTTCGCATCAAAGCGTCCTTTCATCAATAAAATAAATAAGAAAAAGAGATTCGAATTTGCCAAAAAATACGTGAATATGCCTCTATACATATATTTTGGAAAACAGTATTATGATCGGACAGCAAATTTGAATTATTCGGACAAAAACGACAGTCTAGGGTATGGCGAAAAACAGATGAAACTCTCAAAGAAGTCAATATTCAAAAGCCTGTAAAATATAGAGGTGGTAATATCATGATATGGGGATGCTTTGCCTGATGTCGATAATTTGGCTCAAATTAAAAACATTATGACGGCAGAAGGTTGCAAATGCACTGTGCGAGAATTAAAAGAATCTCTTTTGAAATTAGATTTAGAAAATAACTTTATCTTCCAAAACAAGATAACGATCCGAAGTATAAGGCAAAAGAAAACCACTGCCTTTTTCAAATCTAATAAAGTATTAAAAGCAAAAGGTGGGCGCATCAAGTACTAAGTACATTAAAATTAATTTTATTTGTTTGTTACTTATTATTTCTAAAAGTGTATGATTTATTTTGTTCAGAGTAAAATGTATCAATATTAAAAAATAATTTTTTTACAAAAGAATTGAACACAATTTTAATTATATCACATTTTCTTTATTTAAATACTTTGATTTTCTTGTATCCGATAATATCTATTTGCTCGTTAAAAAAACAGTTACACAAACAAATTCAATTTCTTTAAAGGTGTATGATTTATTTTGTCCACTACTGTATCAGCTAAATCGAGACGTGCCAAAAGAATTAACAGTAATTACAAAGAAAAATCAATGCTTAAGAATCCTGTTGTATGGTATCTCTCTCGTTATATTATCATTTATTGATCAACACTATAAGAATACAAGGTGCTACATCATACACACACACACACATATACTAATATGCATATATACATATATCATACATGTCCATCATATACATACTCAGAGTTTTATAACTGAAAACTTGCTCTATATTCATCATGTTAAACGCACCAACATTGAGAAACCATGCATACATGCATGCAAGACATGCATACATTTATAACGACAAGGTTTTCTTTTTAAATATAATGGATGTGAAACTTACATAAAAATTTCAATTTACATGTTTTATAAATAAATGTGATAAAGTTTATATTTTAAATTTCGCGAAAAAATATTGCTTGCATACATGGAAATTCAATAATATCGATTGCACACATTTTGATAATATATTAAGGTGTGTCAAAGGTAAAGATACATCTATTTTCATACCGCTATCACTTGCCTTTCGAGACCAACGCGACACTAACTCTGTTGCACCGTGTTTGTATAACTATCTACATCAATTTATATCACATACAAATCCATCTTCAGATCTTCTATATACATCATGCAGGAAGAACGGAGTTCGTCAATGGTAAAGAATATATAAAGTCAGAGAAAACCTCGTAAGCGATCAGCTGCTCCTGATGTAATATTACGTAATTGTGTATGGTATTTTTATTATACTTCGTAGGTTCAGTGAGAGTGCGACACCACAGAGTGGTGGCGGATCGCTCAAGTCGGATAGTAATGGCGAAAAGAGATGGTAAGTGCGGGCCCCAGAGTATGGGCACCAGCTACCTATACCGTTCGCAGTATATTCTGTATCACTCGACGATATGCCATACATTTTTACATTTCAGATTATGTATTGTTATCTATATATAAAGACACAATTGTGCACGACTTGTGCACGTTCATCACGACGTAGCGTTAAACACAGTTTTGGTATCCTTTGTACTTTGCCACCTTTCGCTAAGCGAGAATCTACAGCGAATAGGGAGAATTTGCATGTCCCACCTCTCTTGGCATAATTTTACGCGGAAGAGATAAATCTAGGCTGCAAAGACTCTGTCAGAATGCTCGTGCTAATGTATATAAAATAAAACACTTTGTAGGTATTTTTCTTCTGTGCAAAATTACCAGGAAAGGAAGGGATATGTAAATACCTTGTTTATCCAACTGCACATGCAAATTCTATGTGAGTTTATAATCACGTCGTAAAAATGAATGACTTTTCAAGTATAAACACAATATAAATTGGCAGTAAATAAATTCGACGACAGCCGTTAGATAAATACCCAGACAGCACAGAACATCTATTGGAGACATCCAGACTTGATTTCAATCTGGTCCAAACGTCTATGGACTTAGTACGAATGGTTTAAAAATACACGTTATTCAACGTACAAAGTATGTTTACATTTGAACATTTAAAAAATGTTTATCTGAAAATTTTTTTAAATCGCACGAGGAATTTTACTTTTGTTATCTGCAGTAACGCGAAAATTTATCAAATTAAAGCTTAGTTTAGACAGCACGCAACAAGCGGCAAGTGTCAAGCAACAATAGCTTGCTGCTCGCAGTGATAAGAATTAGGAATCTTTTGCCTCCAGCATACAAATTTGTCTGGATTGTGGTCTAAAATTTGTTTAATATATTATATTAATTTAGTCCAGTTTTAGTCCATTGCATTCTAAATAGACGTTTTTAAGAAGTCCAAAATGGATGTTTTTAAAATGTTTTTAAAATATCCATGGATCTAATTTGGATGTTTTTAATATGTCCAAACGTCCAGCATGTACGTTTTAAATACATTTTTTAAACATTACTGTGCTGTCTGGGTACATACTGTTCTTAATCATAGAATGGAATCTGATTTGCACAATAAGAGTCTAGAGACTTAATCAACTAATATATAGTGTCAGATAAAAATTTCATTCAGAATGAAGATTGCGTTTACGATGACATCGATAACAAAGATATATTATTTCTGTTATGACGACATGACAGCATAATTTATATGCGGAATGTTTTATCATATTGCAGGTATGCAAAAAAATAAGAATTTATTTCAATTGTGCTTTTAAATATTTTGTTTGTACATACATTTTTATAGTATATATAATTTTGTTCGTGCATTCGCAATATTAAAAATTATACAAAAATAGAAAGTATATAAAAAAAAAACTTGTACATAACGTATTAAAAGAATAAGTAAGACTATATCCTAATACTTTTTAGATTTCAATCCAAAACTGTGTTATTTTATATTTTATAAAACGTGTTTTCTTTCAAAGAAATAACGTAACGAATATTGTAAAAAATCAAATTATAAATATCCTGATTACTACAATTTATCATATGTACTTTATAAATATTTTTTGTTTCAGTTTTTGTTATTTAGAAAAATAAAATATTGGCGTAAATATTTATTTATCTATATATTATCATATATAGATTAATAAACATTTACGCCAATATTTTATTTTTCAATTATCATTGATATGTAAAACTAATTTGAAAAAAAGAATTTCATATTTATTTAACTGTCTATCGAAAAAGGAATAGCAAGTTGAAATATTTGATTCTTTTATTTATAGAAACGTATTGATTTCGGCGTTTCTATCTTATACATAAATATTATTTAAATTTAATTGTAGAAAATTTTACAAAGTATATTATACGATGCATTTCTAATACTACTTGTCTATCGTTGTTTATCAGTAGATTATCTTTATTGTGTAAGTTGTACAGCAATCGTAGATCACTACATGTAAATCAGAATAAACGCGCGTCACGCTTTATAAAGAAGAAAAACTGTCTTATATAATAATATAAATACTCCACGTTCATATATATTCTATCTGTAAAAAAACTTGCACATATCCACATGCTGACTCATTCGATACGATGTTGTTATAGTGTTTTTAGTGACTTGATATGCGAAAGATCAATTATGTTGCATACAGAAGTTTGTATCTTAACGAGCTAGCGAACGTATTTAATAACGAACACATTTTCACAAGGTAATATAACATGAAATATGTACAAGGGATAATGAAATATTTGAGTTTCATGAATAAAACAGTGTAGGATGTGCTAAAGTTGAGCAAAGGTTATCGCTGTATAGACTCATTATGAAATAATTGTAATCTAGAGAAAATTCTCTTTCTTTTCATATTTGTATATATATTTACAGAAATTAAATTGTTACGTTGACATTTTCATTTACATGACACAATTGCAATAGCTAATGAATAATCTCTTATATCTTTAAGATCCTTGTACATATTTGGTAGATATTGCTTTGTTACTATTGAATAATACTTTATAAATAGTTATCTCTCTACGTGGATGTGATTGTCTGTATTTAATTAACAATCTGTGTGCCAAGTATAATTTTAGCAAATATTGAAGCATGTTTTATTAATAGATTATACAGTTAACGTTAAGCTACTTTGCATTGCTTCTTAATGTTATTTACCATGTACAAGTTTATTACGATATTTTATTATTTTGCGAGTTCAAGATTGTTAATTATATATGTATAAATGTGTAAATATTACAATTATAATAGCGAATATATTTATATGTGTATAAATAAATTATTTGGATTGAATATAATTTTTAATAACAATGAATGTAGCTTTGTATCTGTATCTCGGAAAAAGAGGATTTTGTATTCTCAATCTTTTAATATTTGCCAATAGTAAAAAGAGCGCTGAACTATTTTGTAATTTAAATGTTCAATTTATCAAACGATTGAGAGATTCTTATTATTAAATTATAATTTCTATACATATTTTAGTTCTTCTCAAGATAAATATACATAATATTGCTGTATATGTATAATTTATTATAGATATTTATAATGAAAAGTAAGTTGTTCTTGTCTTTCAAAAAGTCTTTGTGTTTTCTCTTGCTTTGATTAATTTTTATCTCATTTTTATCTTGCGTTCTTTTAAAGAGATACGTATAACAGCACAATATAAAGTTCAATAAAAAATTGACTTTTACTCAATTATCATATAGAGTGAAGATTATTGTAATATATAACATATTAAAAATCATCGAATCAATTCTCGTTATATATATATATAATACTGCATAACGGCTTTAAATTAGAAAAAGAAAACATGATATTATTCCAGGCTAACCCATCCCAACATCGTTCAATTGCTGGAGACGTTCGAGGACAAGCACAAAGTCTACTTAATTATGGAATTGTGAGTAATACGTAATTTTCTATTATTTTTTTTTTATATAATAATACCGAAGATATCTGAGATATTCAAAAGATGACTGTTTCATATTGTATTAGGGTTACTGGTGGTGAACTATTCGACAGGATTGTCGAGAAGGGCTCGTACACAGAAAAGGATGCATCTGGTTTAATAAGACAAGTACTCGAGGCGGTAGACTACATGCACGAACAGGGTGTTGTTCACAGAGATCTCAAACCGGAGAATCTCTTATATTATAGTCCGGACGAGGACAGTAAGATTATGATCAGCGATTTCGGCCTATCGAAGATGGAAGATTCTGGGATTATGGCGACTGCTTGCGGTACGCCAGGATATGTCGGTGAGTTATTGAGAGAACGAGGAGGAGAGAGAGAAAAGAGAAAATAGAAACGGATTTCAAGCATCGATGATCAAACATGCGCTATTTTGGCGATCCGCAGCACCCGAGGTTCTAGCGCAGAAACCATATGGCAAAGCGGTGGATGTGTGGAGTATAGGAGTCATTTCGTACATTCTCCTGTGTGGATATCCTCCGTTTTACGACGAGAATGACGCCAATCTGTTCGCACAAATTTTGAGAGGTAACGGAATAAATTTTTAAACAAAATAGAGTCTGCGATAAAATCGGATGCGGTGTTACGGCAGTTTAATCGCTACTTTTATGATGAATAATCTTGTAAGAGAAGTTTAATAAACTAATTGGATTCGTAAAATATATTAAATCAATTTAAAATTGCATCTTTAAAGTAGATCTTTTTACATATTCAGTACAATAGATATTTTTGTACAATATTAATATAAGTAAAAAGAAATATAATGTTAACGTTTGAAAATAAAAGTATAATACAATACATAACAATAAATAATTTTGAGATACTAAAACATTTTGTTTGATTTAAAATACTATCTTCCGCGTAAATGTTTATGTAAATATGTCTTTGAAATAAATATCTGATTGATGTAATTATAATAAACTTGTATAATCCATAATAAAAAACTAACTAGATTATTGTAGGTGAATTTGAATTTGATTCGCCATATTGGGATGATATCAGTGCTTCTGCAAAGGATTTTATTGGAAAGCTGATGTGCGTCAATGTTGAAGAACGTTATACGTGCAAGCAGGCTCTTGCGCACCCATGGTAAGAATCTTTAGAATTATTTCAGAATAAAAATTACTGAAAGAGTTTATTTTGCATATTTGCATGTTAATGCAGTAGTAATAAAATTCTGCAATAACCAAGTTATTTTGCAAACGTAAACAGAGCAGGAATATGCAATGAAAGCTTTAAATGTAAATTTGAATATATCTGTATCTTAGATGCACAAATATTACAGAACCGATTTACTTATGAAATAATATATATATATATATATATGGATGAAATAAGTAGTGATAGATATATTTTTGAAGTACTTGTCATTAGTTTATATTTGAAAAATCCAATAATTTTATATTATCATGTTTAATAATGAATAATTACTTGCTCGGTAGTCCAATTTATTTAAAACAATTTGACAAAATGACAAACATAACAGAATGACAGACCCATTGACAATTAATAAATGATACCGTTATGATATACTATATTTGTTATTACACATTATTTCGAAATACTTTTATATTTTTTAGCACACACAATGTATACAGTTTTGAACACAATGCAATACAGTATTAATATTTTTAGGATTTCCGGCAATGCCGCTAGCAATAAAAATATTCATGGTACTGTATCTGAGCAACTTAAAAAGAACTTCGCCAAATCAAGATGGAAGGTTGGTATTTGTCGATTAATTAGCATACTATTAATTGTCTATGTATTTTTACCTACTAAGCACTATAGGAGTGTTGTTGTGTCATGATTGCAGCAAGCGTACCACGCAGCCACGGTCATACGTCAGATGCAACGGCTAGCGTTAAACAGTGGCCAGCAACAGCAGCAACAGGAGAGTACAGGCTCGATCGGCCCCTCCAGCGATAATCTCACGCAATATCGAGAGCAATCGCAGGTTAGCTACAACCAGCACGCGCCGCCCTCGAGCAATCTCAGCAATTGAAGCAAACGCGAGCCGTTGCTCATCATGTCAAGCCTGATGTTTACGAATCTCACTTCTCACACCATTCCAGTCACTCCCGCTGACTACTCGACTCCGCTATACATGTGTCACGAACGCTTCAAGCTAAAGGGGAACACACGCACTGTTCGCTCTGTCCGCTCTCTTTTAAAACAACTTGTGTCGCGACTTAGGAAGCAACAGAAGCATAAGAAGAGCTGGGCTTTAGGCACCGTTTAGAATCATGCCCGCATACGCGACATAGCTGTCGCTCTTAAGCTACGGGGATAGATTAGAGCCAATTTGCTTCACGCCGGTGACGCGTACATATACACGTATTATGTGTATATGTACGCGTATGTACATGCAAAAACACAATTACTATCGAAAGGCGTAAACTACAATTTGCTTTGGCTGGTCCATGCGATACAATACAATTTGTACCCTCTTCTATAGCAGTACGACAGTTACGTTCGCAGGCTTTATTCTTATGATTTACGACGTTTTCTACGTTACACACGCATAAGCAATAGTTCGTAGCAGTTCGCTGAATACGTTTCGCATCGATCTGACAGAATAAGAGGCGGTTTACATCTCTAGAGATAAAACTTGAAGATTGTGTGTCGCAATCATGCCTGCACACTTTGTTAGATCGAATCGGTTCTATATATATTATATAGAAGTATCTATACATATAAATATATGCATTACGCAAACAGTACAACGACAAGTTTTTATATTTTATAAAATTCGGTGTAATAAGTAGCGCGGCTGTTTGATATAATTCTGTGCAACCTAGAGACCTGTATCATTAGACCCGGAACGAATATGATTCCATGTTATGGTTCCTACGTAATTCGATCCTCGCACAACGTAACATACACCTTGGTATGATAGAGAATATTCCCTATCTACTTCACAAGTCGATGATATGCGAAAACTTAATACAATACCAAAACGTAGACGAGAGGTCGCTTAGTGCACAGAGACATAGCCTGATTTGTTTCTTTTTCTCTCTTGTTCTCATCTTGTTTTATTTCGTTTTTTTTTTTTTTTTTTTTGTAACTAAGACATGGCCCCGCTTATGTAAATGCTTACACAGACACTTGTGCTATTTTATGTAATATGTATCCTGTATGTATACTCCTCTCTTTTAACATATACGTAGTGATAATATTATATTAATATGAGGCCCCCCGAACGGAATCCGCTAAGCTAGCTTGACACTTAAAAATGTATATGTACATTATTCTGCTAACATTAATTATATATATATATATATATATATGTACACAGGAAGGGGCATTTAAAACAGGTCACCTGAATAACTCGCTTGTATTCGTTTTAAAATGCTCTATCAGAATGTAAGTAAAAAAACATATCCATTTAAAAAAACAGATTCGACCTTTGCTTATCCTTTACGCCTCCACCTACAAAATAATTATTGACATCACATTATGTGCCTCTCGAAACCAAGCAACTTTTGTTTGATACTTTTTCTTCTATTGTTAAAAACAAGCGAATTATTCAAGTAACCTGTTTTAAATGCTCCTTCCTGTATATACATTAGACTGACAAGCAAAAAAAATTTTTTTTTAATTGGCCTCAGCTCAAAAGCTTCCGTTTTATCCCTAAATTTTTATTAAAAACTATTAAGATCTAGAGGTCGCTAGTGAGCGATTTTTAAATTAAAGGTTCGATTTTCTTTAATACATGTTTGACTTGATGCAAAAATGGCTTGATTCGGATTTTAAATGTGGTACTGTATGTCTTTTTGATCGCTGAACACGATGCAATAATTCATTTAGCTCTACGATAAACGCCTTAAGAAATAAAGCATGATTAATACGAAAAAATGATCAAATTTGACATGAATTGGAAGCTTTCGAACTGAGGCCAATTAAAAAAAAATTTTTTTTGCTTATCAGTTTAATATATACAGGGTGCGTCACCAAAATCCAGACAAATTGAACAATATCTTTAAACAAAATGTTTTTAATGAAAAATTAAATATTACAAAAAATCCTTTTACGTGGCACTTGGGGGATTCTTATAGAGTATAATTATTCGATATATTCCCCATTATCTGGAATGACGGTCTCTATTCTCGGTTTGAAGCGTTCGCACGCACGCTGTAATGTAGCGCTCCCAGTATCCGAAAAATCGGAATTTTGAATTCATGATGACTACACACGAATTTATTTTTATGTATTTTAATTCCTGATGAATTGAAATAGGTAGAATATGGATTTGTGTAGTTATTGCTGAATCCAAAATTCTAATTTTTCGGGTACTGGGCTGTCCATGCCGAGGAATGCTGCCTCAATAGCGGTCCTCAATGACGTCACATTAGGATACCGAGACTTGTTAGTGATCCTTTCAACTACGCTTCATACGTAGTAGTCCAAAGGATTTAAATCTAGGCTGTTGGGAGGCCAGAATTCCTTGGACCAAAACATATCGATATTGTCTGAGAGCCAATTTTGAATCAAATGACTCGTATGAGCCGGTGCACCGTCCTGTTGAAAAATTCTTCAGCAATTCGACGCATTGTTGGCTCGCTTACACCAACAATCGATGCTAATTTTCGCAACGATTGCCCTGGGTCATCCGGAATCAGCGCTTGAGTCTTTTCAACGACTGCGAGGGTCTTCGTGGTGCGTTCTTTCGAGTGACTCTTCCTCGCTGGCATACTGGAACTTTCGTTGGACTGTTCTAAAACCGTAAATTTGGCCACAATGTCATAAACGGTTGATCTCGGGTATCCAAAAAAATCGAATTATTTCCGTTGCTGAGCGCCCAGCGCGAAGACCTATAATCGCGACTCTTCGATTACACTCCGCACTTGGTTTCAATATCGTGGCCATTTTGAGAATATGACTGTTTACTAGAAGCATCAGGCTTTCTTGGAAAACCAACAACATCCTCTGGCAGAGGCACAATATAGCGGAAAATTTAATTTGTCCGGATTTTGGTGACGCATCCTGTATACATATATATGTATATAAAGATATTTTTTGCATATATATATATATATATATATATATATATATATTGCACTACTACTTCTATTTCTACAGGACGTAAGGTGTACATGCATAATGTACATTTAGACTCACATAAACTATCTTACGTGCCTGATTTTAAGATGACATGAGGAACAATTCTGTAATATTACTATCATATCGTGATCTTAATTATTTTCGTGTACGCATAAAGGTATGATGTTGCTCTGTTATTTGCCTTGATTTAACTGTACACTATATTTTGATACTTATATATTACTGACTTATTTCATATACACTTTTTACAATTATTTTGTTATTAATAAAAAAAATATCACGTATATAAAGAGATATATAATATGTATTATATATAGTAATATATTATTTTTTAAACATTGAAAGTGCCGTGTATATAGAATATTGTAAAGGCATGTTAGACAGACAAAATGGAAAACCGAGATAATTATTTTTACGCTTGTATCATTTTATTTTTGCTAAGATACAAGAAGGAAATCGGCTCGAAAGTGTAATTTCTAGTATCGATTTATATACATAACGCGAGTGTTAATCTCATTAATATATAAATCGATGAGAGATAAAGGGGGGAAAACTTAATGACCCTCTGACTTGTTTATCGTGTTTTTTTTTTGTTTTCACGTGATATCGACAGAAACACAGTAAAAGATGCTCTTTTTGCGATGATAACACTAGTCTACAAAATTAAAAAATTATTAAAACAATTTTAACTGTTTTTTTAATGTATTCTTGTTAGCTAAATACAAATCCGTGTTCTAAATTTTACAATTTTGAGAAAAATGACAAAGATGGTATTAAAAAAGCGAAAAAACGATAATTTTAATTGAGGGCTTCCGTGATTTTGTAGCCAGTAGCCAATTCTTTTTTTTTAATTTCGTTAATGCCACATGAAATTATATATCAACTTTCAGCGCGCTTTAATAAAAATCTATTTTATTTTGATGTGACGTTTTGCTTTCGAGATATAATATGACAATTTGAAAATAGATCTTTTGTCATATAATACAAGAAAAAGGTATTTTATTCCATTTGATTACTGTGAAAAGGTAATTGATTATAATTTGGAAAGTAAAGTACTTTTGTATACATAATATTGTTGCGCTCGCGCGACCGTTTCGCAAAATTCGGTCGCGTCGCGGACACGCACTTCCGAACCGCCAAATTAAGTAACACGAAAGAAACGTAAAGGCAAGTACTTGAACAGAGAACACAGAACAGAGCGAAAGATAGATTATGTAACCGAGAATGTAAACGAAATAAAATACATTTTAAAGTTAAAAGTTAATACTTTAATGTGACATTAATAAGATTTATAAACAGATATTTGCTACTGTAACATCATAAGAACCGTTAAAATTGTTTCTGCGCAATTTTTGTCAAAATTGTAACGTAGCCAAATTCAGAAAATGGATTTGCGTTTAGCATCTATAGAAAATTACAGAAAATGGTTATATTCATTGAGACAAAATGATCCCAAAGTGTAAATTTGCCGAATTCATATCAAGACCGGTTGGAATCGAGAATCTTTTTCGCACGAAGTATAAATATGTACAGTTGTAATTACAGTTTCAGACGAGGAATTTCGTGTTGTTAACATCCTTATTAAAGTAAAAATTCACAAAAAGCTCGTGAGAACCACGCCTTAATCAAAATATATTTTGGTCGCGTGTGCCCCGTTGTGGAAATGCGATTGATTGCTGGAATGAATATATATCAGAATTAAATTTAGTAAACTGGGACATAAGTGTGTATGATGCATGCTGATGGCACGCAGCTGAACCATGTTAATCGCACTGATCACTGTTTAATCGCGAAGCTGAAACTATCCTTTGCAAAACATATCCACGAGTGAATTCAGAGACCGACTAGCGATTTCTGCATTTTACATAGTTAGCTGGAGGACTTTAGAACACTTGAAACACGTGGCTCTCGTTAAAAGATTTCGAGCACGCCGAAAGATATGTAAAAGAGAAAAACAAAAAAGAACGCTAATTGCACTTTTATCGAGCGAGCTATCTCCGTTGTTACAGTGTATTCTCTTTCTCTTCGACTTAAAAGCTATGTATAAATAATCTCTTGGCATTATCATGTTAGGCATCCGTCCGTACAGCGGGCACTTCTCGATGTAAAGGGATACTGTAGAAAGTTATAGAGAGAAGAATGTATGATCGATGCGATCGCTTTGGGGATGCGTTAGAGAACATCTCTCTGTATAGTGAATCTCGTTTATTTGGAAGATCTTAACGTTTCGATTTTGAAACGTAGTTTCTTTTTTTTTTTTATAGAAGAAAAGGAAGGAATATATATAAATAATCGGAATACCAATTGAAAAAGTTTGTGACGAGGGGGTAATCACTTGATGTAATCGTGGGACTGAGTCCTTGAAATCATTATAAAATTTATATAAAGTTCCCATGTATAATAAGAAGAACGAAACAATCAAAAATAATGTTAATTTGACGTCATATTGACCGAATTTAGTCATTTTTTTGTGTGATGATAAAAAACTCGATCTTAGATGATAAAATAAAAAAGATGACAGTAAAAAAAAAGTCAATATAAAGTCATTTTTAAGTCATTTGAGATCGAGATTTTTATCATGATAAAAAAAAATGACTAAATTTGGTCAATATGACGTCAAATTGACATTATTTTGATTGTCTCGTTCTCCTTAATTCCAATAATTACATATACAACTATAATACAAGAAGTAACTGTATAATATTAGATAACATTATTGATTTTAAATATATAAATAAAGGACTCTTAGTATTCAAAAAATATAATAAATAGGTAAAAGGCTAATAAGAGTCAAGCATATAAAATTAAAAATTGTATCGACACAAATATATTTATTTAACTATAAAAAAAAAAAATTAACATAAAAATTAAACATTAATAAAATATGTAATGTGTTGAATAATAAACAATCATATTATTATTATTTTATTATAACA